ATAGGCGTGGCGTTCTGGTCCTTCGCTTCGTCCGCGAATCCCTTGAAACTGCAGCGATTACGGGATTCGCCCTTCTCCCTTCGACGATTCGTTCATCCCTTCTGCTGAACTTTCCATATTTTTGTTTATAAATCACAAGTATTAAGAATTAATAACTACAACTAATTATTGATGATCTTCTTTAATAATCAATTTTTTAATTTTTTTGAAGCGATGTGTGTATAGTTATATTAGTCTTATATTGTCTATTTGTAATTATATTACATAATATTTTGTATGTTTCCTACTTTCTTAATTTTCGATATCGAATTGAGAAAGATGAAGCACGCAATGTTTCATTAATGGCATGCATAAAACAATTATAAATATAGAATGCATTTTATATGTTCTTATACTAAAACAGTGTATAAAAAACAAATTTAATAACTTTTACAATGGCAGTTTAATACAATTGTTAGAAAAGTTTTGCGTTCGTACATTTGTGACGGATTTCAATTTTCAGTTAACGATCGATTATTTGTTTCTTCTTGCTTCATCTCTTACGCAATAATCCACGTGTAAGATATTCGTGATGTTATCTACATATACATGTTATTCAGTTCGAAGCGCATTTAATTTCATCATTTCATTCCATTTTCGCAAAGTTTTGCATTATTTCTATATTTTTTTTATTACGTAAATTTGTTACGAAGATGTTATAACATTATTTCGCATGATATTGAATGCGTTTTGATGAGACTTAAGAAAAATATAAAAGTAAAAAGAGAGAGAGAAACGAATATTTCTTGAAAGGTCTAGATCTAAAATTTTATTTAACGTATTCGGATAACTACTTGATTTTGTAATCTTATTGTTTGTATTGTTTAATTACAATACTACTAGATTTGTTCTCTAAATATTTCTCGGATACGTTACCTCGAAAGAATTGTCTCGGTGAAATTTAGTGTGCAGGTCTTGCAATTGGAAATCTTTCTCCCTCGTGCTTTCCATTTCTAACGATCGCAATGTGACGAGAGACTAATCGTTACGACGTTCCGTGAACCAAGAAAACCGATTTCTATTCTTTCGATGCGTTTCTCGTCATCAATTCGAGCGACATTCTCTTAACTATGCGTTCTTATGATATATATATCTGATAGATGATCGTAAAGTTATAATCAAAAAGGTTTTAATTTTCTAGTCGATATTAAGTCACCTAAATTATTGCAAATTATGAAGTCATTTAAATTATTGCAAAAATAATTGTCTTAATTTTATATACTTAATTTACCTTTACATTATACTTATAAATTTTAATTTAGAGATAAGGAAGTTTCTTATAGAGTTTTTAGAGTAAGAATTAGAAAAAATTCCAGTAAGATGACTTTTTATCTTTCATATAAAAAGAAAGAAACGGTAATAAAAAAAACAAAATAATATGTATTAAAAAAAATGATGTTAAAGTAATTAAAAGTTTAATACAGATATATACGAAAATAATTTTATTGAACTATCAAGATAATTATATGGAACGCTCAAGCTGATTTTTAGAATCTATAAATTTTTTGCAGCATTACACATCATGCTTGAGTTTTCTACAAAATTATGTTGTTATGAGTTAACAAAATTATTTTCAGATCTGTATTTAGCTAAATCTTGAATTCAGCAAAATAATTTTTTTTGTATATAATATCTAATGAATTCAATAAATGTTAACATGAGATTACATTATGCTTTTTCATAATAATTATTTTAAGATAATATTTGTAAATAATGTATGTATATTTAATATCTTTTTCCACGCACTGTAAATTCATTTTCTTATAGATTTTATATTCTCTATTGAGGATCGATATTCTAATTCTTATTTAAGGAACTTTATTTTTTGTGAACATGATATAATAAAAAATTATAATAACATGTGCGCGCACTTTAGTGGCTGCTCAATTAAAAGCAGTTAGGCTTAGCGGCGAGAAGTGAAGAATCATTAACGATCAGGCACGCGTTAAACCGCAGGATAAAATTGATCGGACTTGTTTCTCTACACTTGACCAGAATGCACGCGCGCACATGATTTACGCGCATGAATAAAGTTCACCTGCCAACAGGTATGTTATATGGATAGCTGTCGAGCAGGTTCATTTGGGATCTCTCGACGACCAGTTATAGTCATTCAATTGACGAACAACCAGTGTATAATACGTTAATAAATTTAGTGGTCTCACAAAAGATAAATTATTATAACATTTGATACATTATGATACATAATTATAAAATGTTTATATTTTTTAAACAACGGTTTAGCAATCGTAATAATGACATTAAATTGACAGAGCTGGAACACCAATCCGTAAAAATTTATATTATTGTTCCAATTGAAATTCTAATATACGAATAAACTTATGTTTGTTCTATATGTAATATAGATTGTGAAATAATTATGGAAAATGCGCGAATGCAAAATGTATTGCGTCTTTCGAGTATTAAAGATGTCAGTATTATGTTTACGATCCTAATATTGAAATATACATATATATTTGTGTGTTTTGCATTGTCTTTTATTAGAGAATATCGTTTATTACAGAATAAACATATATTTGTATATAAAAGGTGGATGATTAATAACATAATAAGAAAATCTTTATTATATTTTAAATATATTTTTGTGGATAGTATTATTTTAAAGGTTTTTCGATTTTATGCAGTTACTGTTGGTTATCTTTTAATAATTTTGAAAATTTTACTTATTTATTAGTTTAAAAACAAAGAAATATGACAATTCTTTCTAAAAGAATAATTTCCAGTTATAAATTTTAGTTTAAATCTAAACAGATTTGATACAAAACAAAAATCTTATTTACCTTATTTTTATCTTTGTAAATTCTTTCGAAATCTTACATCATTTATCTTTTCGTTTCTTCTGATGTTTATTTATCCTGATATTATATTTGGCAATTTCTGGATTTTTCTTATCTTATTTTACGATTGTTCGTAAAAAAAAGAAACAATTATATTTATCTCTCTTTACAGAAATTTACTATTTTTGATATATTCTTTGGATATATAGACTGAGTATGAAACATTTATTCTCCACTATCGAACAGTAAATCGATGTTTTGGAAGATAGCTTATTATTTCTTCGTTCATTCTTTCTGACAGTTCACGGAAACACGCGCATGAATCATTGTGTTCGAAATTCATCTGTGCTCGAGACTGAAGTATTGTTCTCATAAAATTCTAAATTGAGAAAATAATTTATGTACAAGTGTCTACGTTGAATCAGAGAAAAATTTATCTTTCTCTATCAAACTCGATTATTAATTAAAAATTAATCGAAACTTTCAAGGTATATACTATAATTTTTCAAAAAAAATAATACATTAATTTAAAAATATCATTTAAACTTTGTAGGTATTGTAGATTTTATAGACTTTTATTATTATATATAGACTTTTATTATTGTAAATCATGATTTTACAAGAGAATTTGTTAGATATAATCTTAATTATTGCATAATTAATTTTTGATTATTTAAAATTTAACGAAACTTTTTTTGTAGGAGCAATAAGTTAAATACTAAAAGCAATTTGTCCCTACTATTATTTAATTATCTTATCACAGTTAATAGTTTCATTCCACTCTATTATATTAGGTATAAATATTATAACGTTACCGATTTGTATGAAAAGATCCAAAGTCTTCCAAATTAAATAAAAGCATCAGGTTGATATCAGAACATACAATGAGATTAATCTTGAGATTAGAAATAGACTGCTCTTATAATCCATCACGTGAACAAACATGATTTTAGACAAAAATTCTTTCAAGAATGAACTTTGAGTGTAAATATTTTTCCTCTTGATAAGGGAATTAAATAATTTAAATTTTAGTTTCTTACCTTGCATTCTAAGCCTGATTGCTAGTTTCTTGAGGTGTTCGTTGCGTTGTCCATACGCGTGTAAATAGAGAATGAGGAGACCGTCGAATGCGGTTAGAACGTCGGACGAGAACGTTGATAAGTATTATTGTCTCGGCTCCATCTGCGGTTCGGTCTGGGTATCAGCTTCCGGAATACTTAGTCAGATTTGTGTCCTGTCCTGTCGCTGACACAGTTCCTTACCCAGTACGGTTAAACCGGAGACGTAGCACCGGCGGATCCGGCGGTGGCTCCTGTTTATCCGCGGTTTTAAGGTCGGTGCGCATCAGTTAGCGTGATATATATTCTGACACACATTTTAAATCACTATACCGCGGACGAAATTTTGAATTGTGTCATAAAGGCAGCAACAGAACTTGACAACCCGAAACGTAACTTTCTCGTCATTGCAGACATTTTTCAGTAATCTTTTTGAAAAATTGCGATATGATGATTTATACCATCGTATACATTCGCGATTTAGATGGTTGCATAAATTTCTCTGTGATAAAAAGATTCTTCAGAATTATAGCTGTATTTCCTGTATATCTATTGCACTGCAGCATTTTTTCCTTTATTTGTGTAAATCGATGAAAAATAAGCATCACTTTGAGAAAAGAAAGATAAATGTAAATGATGAAATACAGAATCGATTATGCGAACCGCAATATAAATTTATTTAGAGAGAATAATATTCTTGCCATAATTTTACACACTCTCTTTTTAGCTTGAATTGACAAATTCGCTTCTTTTATTATATTTGAAACGATTCGGTTTTCCTGTTTCGTCAGCAGATTTGTGGTCCAGAGAAGTCACGCTCGTTCTGCGGGTTTTTCCGGTCTTCCTGAAATCTCTGTCTGAGGAATGAATGAGAAATCATAACATGAAGCTCAGTTTCCTCGACTATTAAGCATTTGGTTTTCAGTCGAACAATAAAAGTAAATTGGCTATTTATAATAATTATTGGCTATTTATATAATAATTAATTATATTTATGATAGTTAATTATCATTTATTAGAAACTTATTTTTTATATTCTATGTTTAATTATTTCACATTTTATATTTTGATCTTTAAATTAAAAGTTATATTTTATGTGTTACAGTGACTGGACCCGAGAATGGATCCAGCCAGGAACAGGAAAACGAAACGCAAATTGATGCTGCATCACCATCATCAAGTGTAAATATTTTAAATCATATTTCAATACAAAGTTTATTAGGCATTTGTATTGCTAATAAATTGAAAAAAAAATTTTAAAACTTACAATTAGTAAAAAATGACATAATAAAAAATATTTTGTATTTGTATTATAAACGGTCCTTATTAAAATTTGAATTTTCTCCATATTCAAGTGTTAATTTAACATAATGTGATTTTGTTATTTAAATATTTAGTGTTAAATTAATATTCAATAATGCCAAATAATGCAATTTATGAGTAAGTGAACAAATAATATAAAAATAATGTATTTTAAAACGTAAATGATAAATACATATTAATTTAACATAAGTGTTAATTTCACTGAAAAGATATACTTTTATTGTTTGCTTATAAATTATGTTACATTTTTTTGTATTAATTTTTTTTTATATAATATCTGTGTTATTCTTTCTAACATAATCATTTTATGTTAAATTAATATAATAAGTTGAGTAGATCATTTGGAACACGTAAAATTTATTAAATTAATGACAACAAATTTGTTAAATTAATGATAACAAAAATTTGAAACGATTAATCTTAGTTAAATAATCTTAGTTAAATTATCAGAGTTAAAAAAAGGCAAATTATTAACGTAAATACAACTATATTTTTGTAGTAATGATGTTTTTATGTAAACGATATATTGCAGGAATTCTTAAAAAAGATTGCATATTTTTCTCCGAAAAATGTAGGTTGAGCTATCGGAGAATGGCGCGCATCCATGCCCGACGTGCCCGTCGGTATTTTCCAGTTCCCACGAACTGACGAATCATCTGCGTGGCCACAATTCCCCTCGCAGCACAGACTGCAGCGGCGAAGAGGACTATAGTTGTAGCGTATGTAATAAGGTACTTAGTTCGGCGAGTTCGCTGGACCGGCATGTGCTGGTGCACTCAGGCGAACGACCGTTCAAGTGCAAACATTGCGATATGTCGTTCACGACGAATGGCAACATGAACCGACACGTGAGATGTACACATCGGATGGTGTCGCCGAACAGTTGCACGGACTCTGAAGGTAGCAGCAGTTCGGAAAGACCGGCGGGGACAAGTCAAGACGAGTACAACAACAATGAGATAACTAGGCACAATTCACCGGACTTGATCGACGATCGACAACAACCGTCGCCCAGCAACAACCGCGGAAACAAGCGGAAATGCGCAGACGAAGACATCAGTGACATGGAGGATCAGAGGAGGCATAAGATCCTCTTGAACAACACCAAGATGTCGATCAGGTGTAGGCCAGAGGATGAGCAAAAAACTTTTGGTTGTTTGCTCTGCAGTCAGGATTTCGCAAGCAGTGCGATTTTGGAGTCTCATATGGAGCGCGTGCACCCGGGTTCTCCAGCTACATGCGAGACCTGCAACCAGTCGTTCAAGAATCATCGTGCGTTAAACCTTCATCGTTCAATGAGACACTACAAGAAGAACTCGGAAGGCAACAACAGCCGTAGCCTGCGTAACACTGTGGACGGTTTCAGGGATCTGACGTTCATTGATTTTTCGTCCATCAAATTTCCAACGATCGCTCGGGCGATGTGCGAGCGTGAACTGCATCGACCGGCCTCTGGCGAGGCCAATAGGTTCCAGTGCATGAAGTGCTTGCACGCGTTTCCCTGCAGACAGGCCCAATTAGCCCATGAAAAAGAATGCAAGGGTCCCTACAAGAACAAAAGAAACAGCAACGATAACAACAATAATAATGATATTAGTACTAACAACAATCTCGAGACAGAGCTGAACGATCCGAGCCCGCAGCCCGATGATCCTAAGACAAAGCGCGAGATATTTTTCGCTGTGTTGGATCTACAGAATAAGTCTTTGGCGCACGAGACGAAGGAACCACGAGAACCAAGCGAAATCAGGGAATTGAAAGAGACTAAGGATTTAGCGGATATCCCGAGCATCTTATCTGTTAGTCTGAATGGACTGCAGACCTTTCCTCGATCGGATGCGAGCACGCCCGAAAATAACATCAAATTCAATCCAAATATTGGCTCTTCAGGTTCCTCAGGCACCTGTTCGTCCGAATACAATGAAGAAGAAGCGCAGGATGCCTTCACCGCGGAATTCCGGAAGATGAAACTGAAGGGCGAGTTCCCATGTAGACTATGCACATCTGTATTTCCCAATTTGCGAGCATTGAAGGGACACAATCGTGCGCATATGAACGTGGAACCGGGTATGTCATATCCGTGCAATATGTGTCCTTATAGCAGTACTGACAAAGGAGCTCTGATGAAGCATCTGAGATCGCATAACGGTGACAGGCCGTTTGAATGCTCTCTCTGCAATTATGCATTCACCACCAAAGCAAATTGCGAGAGGCACGTGAAGAATCGTCACGGGATGATTAGCAAAGAAGACGTTAAGAATGCATTAATCTATCATCCGAATGAAGATTCGACAAACGATAACATCGAAAGAAGCTCGCCCAGAGTCATCAGAGAAGATGTGCGGAAGACACTTATTTATCCGAATGAACGCGAAGAGACTCCTCAACAACAAATACACTATCCGTCTATAGCAATGGATTGTAATCCTGGACCATCGAATATTTGCCCCGAGATATTGATGAATCGCTATGATAAGTCGGACGCGTTCACCAGAGTGAAGATGCAGGCTCTTAATCTTGTCAAAAGAAACGCCGACGAAGCAAACGTATCTCACGATTTGCTCGTGAAATCTAATTATTCGAAGATCGATGACGATGTCGAGTCGGGATCGTCGGACGGCAGCGTGTCTCTAGTCAGTGATACCAAAACGGATACACACCAAAGAATTCAAGCTAGTCCGATGAACCTGACGAAGCCCTCAACAAGCTCTGGGTTGAGCTCGGGGGAGGACGGTCCGTTGGATCTGTCCATGGATGTGTTGGATCTGAGCAGAAAGCGAAAGAGAGAAAATGAGGATTGCGGTTCACAGGAGGAGAAGCGGTTTAAGAGCAATCAACAGGAATTGTACGCCACGAATCCAGCATTGCTGTTGACTCAAGCTTTGCTGAACAGAGCACGTGAGAGCTCACCGACGACGTCACTGGAGACTCTTTATGCGAATACTATTTATCGCAATTTCGGTACGTTAACCAGTGCCGGCATGATACCGCCATACTTCCTCAGTCCTCACATGTTCGGCCAGGAATTAACGAAGGGCAGACTACAGAAGGAATTGGTTAGAGGTTTGCAGCTCACTGGTGGCGGTACACTTTCAGTGGATCCGTCACTACCCAGCACCAGTTACGCAGCGTATCCGCAAACAAGGGACACTCCGCAATCCTCGAGTGAGCAAAATGCTTATGCAAACTTGATGAATACGCAGATTACTAATCAGACCGCGCCGAGCCGTGAAAAAACAGATGTTATCCCATCGAATGATCCTGTAAAGATGGTACTCAAGAACGGAGTATTAATCCCCAAGCAAAAGCAACGTAGATATCGTACCGAGAGACCTTTTACTTGTGAGCATTGCACGGCGAGATTCACGCTTAGGAGTAATATGGAACGACATATCAAGCAACAGCATCCACAATATTGGAGCCAAAGACCTCGCGGTGGACATTCGACTAGAGGTCGACCGCCCGCAAGTCATCCAAGTATGATACAGACTACTAGTCCATCGTCCTCGCAAATAGTTCAACCATATTCGAGCATTCTTCCGAACGTCGACACGCCGGGGATCACATCGGACTACGGCACACACCCTATCTCGGATCAAGTAAAATACGCGATTTTAGCGCAACAACTGAAGGCCAATAAAATAGATGACAATGAGTCAGACAACGAAATGGTGATAGACGAGGAGCCGGTTGATCGGGACGTTCAGGAATCGCAAGTTCAACGCGAGTCTAGTATGAGTTTGTTGAGAGATCAGTTGGAAAACAGCGATGGTGTTAAAGATATTCTCGTAAAAACAGAAGCGGCCGAGTCCGCGGAGGAAACCTCGGAAGAAACCCACGGTGAACAGATCACACGGAATAACATCGACGCCGATCTGGAAGAATCCGCAGCTGAAAGCAAATCAATACGCGCTGAAGAAATGATACAATCCACTGAAAAGGAACAAGGCAAACTTGAAGACGGAGCGCCCGATCTCGCTAGTGTCTCAAAACTTTTAGACAATGCGTCTCAGCAATATCAACAATTTCAACCGCAATATTTGAGTGACGAGGAGGGCCCCGTTGCGTCGACCAGTGGTAATAACTCCGGCAGCGAGAAGTCCGATTCTATGAATTCCTTGAACTCCGGAAATGATTCCTCGCCAAATAAGAAGAAGAAAAAGAAGAAGAAGTCCGCATACTCAATGGCACCAAACCGCGTTTCATGTCCGTATTGTGACCGTCAATTTCCATGGACTTCGTCGCTGAGACGACACATTCTCACCCACACTGGCCAGAAGCCGTATCAGTGCATTCACTGTTCGCATCATTTCACTACCAAGTCCAACTGCGACCGCCATTTGTTGAGAAAGCACAAGGCGAAAGCGAACAAAATGCGCCGTGTCAGGAATTCATCCTCGCCGGACGTCCAAGTAGTCGCTAGCAGCAGCAGTAGCAGCAACGGCAGCAACACATTCTCCATGAGAAATGTGCCCGAGAGGCCGTTCAAATGTCATCAGTGTCCAAGCTCGACGTTCGCCACGTTGGGCAATCTGAAGAAGCATCGGTCGAGTAAGCACCGCAAGAATGCGTCTAGATCGGAATCTAGTGATCAACAAAACAGTCCGCCTCAATGCCCCGCGCAAAATGACCAGAGCGATTACGAGAGCCGTTCATCGAGCATGTCCGACAACATGGAGAACACATCGTCTGCCGTCGCAGTCGCGAAACCGACTTCCACCGCGTCACCCTCGATAAATGACGCCACCAGATCGCGCAAATCACCAAGATTATCACCGAGTCCCGGTGATGTACCCTTCAAATGTTATCTGTGCGACAGCGGTTTCTCGGAACGACAGGACTGCCTGGACCACATCAAAGCCAATCATAGTCGTTCATACGATATGTTGAAGGCCAAAGGGGCTCTCGACATGGCGTCCATGAATATAGATGCAAACGAAGATCAGATGTTAGCATCGCACCAACATCTCAGTGATGGAGAAGAAAAGAAAGGCCGTTTTCCTGATTACAGCAACAGAAAGGTAATAAGGTATAACGGAATTCTAAAAAGATTTCTAGAAGAATTATACTGATGCGAACATGATTCGCATGAAAAAATAAATAAAAATAATGTCAAATATACATTTTATAAGTGTTTTCAAGTTTGCGTCGATAATAATACAATTGAAGTAACATTCTTGTATCTCCTCCATCCAGGTTATGTGCGCTTTCTGCTTGAGACGATTTTGGTCCGCGGAAGATCTCCGGCGTCACATGAGGACCCACACGGGTGAGAGGCCCTTCGAATGCGACATATGCACCAGGAAATTCACGCTCAAACACAGCATGCTACGCCACCGTAAGAAACATGAGTCAGTGGATTCCGCCATGTATATAGCTAACAGCGGCGACGAGGACAATTCGCCTGCGCAACCACCAACGATAACACCTAGGAGTCAACAGCACTCGCCAATCTCCACTAACACCAGCAGGCCCCGCACACAGGATAGAATCTCTTTGCCAACCGTCGCGGCGGTAGCAACGGCGGATGCGGCACCCTGTGCCCTGATGCGATACAATCACTATGATAACATGGCCACTCTCACCGGTAGAATGGCGAACGACGGTCCCCAAGGTGCCGCATCCGCTCCGCTGTCTTCTCCGCCGCCTCCCGCGGAGATACCCAGTGAGAGCGGAGACAACGACCTGATCTCTAATTTGCTGGGTATACGCGAGAAAGGTTTGCTCGACAAGGTTCTTCTAAGCTCGGCGGACGACGCGGCGAAGTTATTGGGGGTGAACCATAATGAGTAATCGAATGATCAATCGTGTAAGAGACAAAAAGAAGAGGGGTACGATCAGACATATAAATCGCGTGAATAGATATAGATTAAATTGGATAAAAATACAGATTGGAATAAAGACAGATTAGATTCGGAGTGAATGTAAAGTATAGAACTGTACTCAAGATATTAATTACCGAGATATTAAACAACTATTTTGAATCTCAGAAGATTATGAGTAGAAAAAAAAGCAGAATTGTAATGTAACAAACCGTTTACCGCTAACGAGAGTTATTCTAAAGATTATTAGAAGATTAAAATTATCATTAACGTCTGATCGCACACCACTTTCTTTTATGGTTCATGAGCACAGAAGATATCTTGAAATTATTCGGATTTTTCGATTCTCCGTTTAGGTCACTATTTCATTTGTATGTTTTTGTTGTACGACAAATTTTTCAAGCTTGTTGATTGGTTATAGAGATCCGAGGATCATTGCACACATTTGTTATATGACAAAAATCCACAAATGAAATAGCACCCTTAAGGTTCACGATCGTGCCTTATACTCTTTTATCAATTTATCGCACGTGTTCGTATAAAACACTGTAGTGTCTTATAAAGTTTATCTGATGAAATTATTTGTGAGCATTATACGCTACGTACGATGTAAAATTTTACCATTTGTAATGAGAACAGAATTGTCAACAAATTTGCTTACATTGCAAAAAGTAGGTGATACGAAGGAATCAATAGGAAGTTTATTCTACGCAAATTATGTTTTTTATTATTTTAAACTAATATTTTCGATTAAATCTTATTTTTTAATACAATCTTAATTTTGTACAGTAAAAACAGATCGGTATATAAGAATCACTTCGATATATAAGAAAATAAAAAAAGAAGTAATTGTTCTCAAAATCATATCTCGATTTTGAAGAAATTTAAAAAGTAATTCAAAAAATTTCTTTCGATTCGTTTTGCAGTTCACCTATTTTTTGCGTAAATATTCGCTATGAACTATGGTGAAGTATATTATTTGCTATCATGACGTACATTTTCTTTATCATTGAAAAGTACCTGCGCTGCACATTCCATTCAGTTTAATTTGTCGATAAAAACGACAAATTACGATTTAAAAATAAATGTTACATAGTATATCTTCCTCTTTTATCAATGCATCCGTACTATTTACGCTTCTGATAAATTCCTTCGTAACGCTTCGTTACGAGAAGCGTTCTTCATGATCCCGTATGCCTTTATATTGGTGCGTGTGTGTATGTGTATATATACACTATCGTTTAAAAATTCTCGAACCTTAAATATAAAATAAAACATATTCTTGTAATTTTTTTACATTTTGACAATATATCTACAATAATTTGATCTTTTTTAACGGTAAAATAATAAAAATAACTATAATGGATCGATATTGCTTGGAAAATTTATTCTTTATCAAAAAAATTTCTTTCTTTTTTTGCTTTTACTACAGTCCAATTTATGTATTTTGTTAATTAATTTTTCATGACTTTTCAAGTGTATATTATTTCTCCTCAGGCATTTCAAACAAATTGTCAGAGTTGTGATATATAGTTAAAAAGGATCAAACTATGTTGCCAAAATTTAAAAACATTGCACAAGAATGTTTTATTTTATTTTAAGAGTATCCGAAAAGTTATAAATGCACGCGATAACATATTATGTATATATATATATATATATATATACACTTATGGAAATTGCAACAATTTGAATATATATAAGATTTGATGTGATCAATATTGTTTGCGAATGCACCATAATTTCGCAAACGCGTTAACGTAGTTATCTTAAATGCATTATTATTATGTCATGAAAAGTGTATTAGGAATCGGAAGATAATGCGAAATATTGTTTGTATCTACATTTCACGCGCAGTATTAGGTGACGCGCGATTGCGATTCCTCAATTGTCTCAATTATAACGCCGTTGTAGCGGAGTGTGAAGAAATATGAAGATAGAAAAAAAGAGAAAAGAAGACAAGGTTCCCTCTTTAAAAGGAGGCTGAACTTGCGAACATTTTTCGCGACGCCAATAAGATGGACGCTGCATTTAAATCCAAAGATAAATTCATTTTACGCAATGAATTATTCTAAGTTAGCCATACGCACTAGGATCTTATTTATTATTAGTTACGTACTTCTATGAGAGTGAGAAAAAAAACGTAATTTAGAGTGTGAATGTGACTAGCATGTAAATCGCCGCGACGTATTTGGCGAAATTCGTGTTCTGAACTCGGATGTTCCGCGGGACCGTTCCCGACTGCGACTTCACGCGGAAAATCTCGAGATCGATCCTGCACGTAAATGGTAAGGAAACTCGCTCGTTCAAGGCTCGCAAATAGTTACGTATACGTATCGATTTTGTTCTTTTCGATAGGACAGCGAGCGAGACGAAATGCAATCTTCACAAAATGATATATGGAAACGCGAGGAGCAATATATGGTGAAGTTATAATCACTATCAATCAATTAGATGAATAATGCCTCGTCGCCTTATGGAATCTTAGTGTATATAGATAGCTCTCGGTTATCTTTCGCGGATGCAATTATACCAAATGATTAACTTGACGTAGGTAGATAATATAGATTAGATTAGATTAGAGCGTGAGATGAGAGTTAGACGGTAGATTTAACTAGGCCAAAGGGAAACGATTTGTGTATTTCCTATTCCTTCACTCTATCCACATACACACACCCCATTTTGTTGTTCGTTTGTGCTTTTACGCAATCTCGTATCGTCTCTACTTACATCACATTCTCTCTTCAATCTCCTCCTTCCTCTGTCTCCACACATACATAACTACAAACACACACACACACACACACACACACACACACACACACACACAAATACACATAGATATACGATATTTATTATTTTATAATGGAGACGTTTGTACACGGCTATGTTTTAGCCAAGTCCGAAACCGAGATTGGGAATAATCATCGTTCTTGATCTCGTCCCGGCACATCTCCTTGCGATGTCTCTGTCGAAGGACGTTTACAGATTCAGCCTCCGTCCATAAAAAAAAAAAGGTTCAGTATCTTTACGAAGCGTCGCATTCCGCGGCATTTTGTAAAGGAAAGGCTTAGGTTTTCTTTGTAAACGGGCCGAGTTTACAAATATCCTGCGATAGACACACTACGCGTAAATACATTAATTAAGGCTTTTCTGCGCATACGTATATGCTATAGGCGAACGAAGGAAAGTTATATTTATCGAAGCGAATGAGTCCGTTAGAAACTTTTCGAGTGACATTTTCTCCTCTCCCGACTGTCGTGAAAAACAAGATATCAAATAATCATTGTAGCGCACGTGTACATGAATAAGTTATATTCTCTAATTTATAAATCAGGAATAATAATAAACGATATGCAATGGATGTATGATCATCTTTTATTTCTTTTTCATGGTTAAACAATTCTTACGAACTCTTTGGAGTAATTTACAAAGAAATATTTTTCAGATTTAACAAATAAATTCTCGAAGTAAATGTTTTGCGACTTATAATTTGCAATTTAATTATTAAAAATCATTTAAATAAATTGAAAGATTTAAAAAAAAACTAAAAATGAGGTAAAATCTAAAATCTTAAAAAAATAATGAAATAATTTATATTATATTATTGATATATTTTATAATTTTTATAGTTTAAATTGGTATATCAAAATTAAAAATAAATTTTTTATTTGATGATTCATACAATATCTACTCGACAAAAATCAATAGCTAATTAAATAAATATTTCATAAATATTTTCTGATGTCGATTCAGTTCCATCAATGCAAGATTAATTTTAATCTCGGTTCAATTCACTCTTTATCTTCTTGTAATTCAAAGAATTAGATATCAATGATAGAATTTTTATATTATTAGATATTGATAATAGAATTTTAATCTCGGTTCAATTTAATTTTTATGTTCTAATTCTAAGAATCGAGATTGTCGTTAATCTTACATTAATGAAAAATCAGGCTTTATTATTTTATGCCAATACTGTATATCTGTAGCCCATGCATTTTGAAAAAAACTTAAATTTTGACATTATAGGTAAATGTTATACCTAAATCCTGTACATCATTTTATTAAATAACATAATCTTTCTAGTATAAAATGTAAAATATTATATTACATGCATTATATCACATGCAAAACAATACAATACGTAAAAGTCATAAAAAATTTTTTTTGAGCGCTTTCTTTTAATAAATCGAAAAAGTAAGGCACTGTACTTTATTTTGTCCGAAAGAAATGAAAATTTACGAAGTGAGAATTGTATCTCTTTACAAAGATAACAATTGTAATTCATTTGACAAGTTCAAAACTGGACAATCGACAAATATTTCGGTATTCCTCACTTCCTTTATTACAGCCTCAGTCTTTTTCAGATATTCCTTTATGTGGTCTTTGGTGAGATATGGTGCTTTGCCAGCATCATAAATAAGAAACCAGTTGATCACATTCCTGTAAAAGTTATCGTAGAAGATTTGCGGCGTGTTAAAAGTCTTGCCCATATCTGCAACGATCAGTTCCTCCAACTCGTGCTCGGAAGGTTGATACACCATGAACACTAATTTTCTCAGAAAGCCAGATATAATATTCTCGTCCTCTTTAATGTTGTATAGACATACCATTATTCTGGGCACCTTTTTTAATGCTTTTATGTCAATACGATATCTCTTGCCCTTTCCCTCGAAACCATAGAGTCTATCATTTTCTACTGGTACTAAGAAATTAAATGCTTCAATGTTCATGTTTGTAAAAATTGTTAGGTCCAGGATTTGATCGGGCGTGATCTTCTCGAAGCTATCAAGCAAATTTACGTAGGCTTTGAATAGATAGATCAAACTGCCTTGACGATGCAATTTATGCTGAGATAATAAATGGTAACTAGTGATATTGGAGTTTTTTGTCAAGGATCTCTTGTGCTTGATTTGCATGAAACGATACATATATTTTTTATCGGAGATGCTTCCGTCCGCCTTTATATCATTAATGGCATATTTCAAAACAAGATCATGAAATCCAAGCGCGTTCTGTACTTCCGTAGCCAACCACCAATTGCTGATCCTCGCATCCTTCTGGCACATCAGCTTCCATGCGATCCATGTTATGAGCTTCACTTGGTAAACAATACCGCGCGTGGGGCCGGTTTTTAAATAGGAGGCTGCATATTGATTGTCCGAGTCTGCGGAATTAACATTATTACATTAGATTATATTATAAAACTAGGATACCACGCGCGATAAAGATTTGTGATTTTATAATAATGAAAAAAATTGTGATCATTAATAAATAAAGTATCTTATATATAAGCGGAAAAAGAGTTATAACTGTAAAGCAGAATTTTAATACAAAGCTTATCAAATTGTTTGATAATAATGGAAAAATGTTAATTAGATTTAGTAAAAATAATGCCACATAAATTTCACTAGAACACTAATGTTTCATAAAAATTAAACTTTTTAAGTATACATCTTGTAAACGTTGAGACTAGAGAAAAAACAAAGATAGAAAGCTAAATTTTAAAATTATTAGATATCTAAAAATAAATAATAAATATTAATAAAATGCTAAAAAATGTATAAGAATTGATAGATTTAAATATGATATCGATATTACTATCGATGTCGTCATAACGAGGATCGACGAATCAACTAAGCTATAATTAAATCTGATACAAAAGAAATGCTGATAAAAAAGAAATACGAGTCGGTCATAAAGTGATATATGATTCTCTTAGCGCGATTAGAAAGAGAGATGTTAAATTCTTTACATATGAATTTTATTTCCTGCTGTCGATTCAAGAAATGCTTATTGAACATTATGTGCTAGTGTGTAAACTTTGAGTAATATTTATGTTATTTGACATTAAATTGATGAGGAAAAAGATCAAGATAATTCAATCGATATTTATTGCAACCTTGACAAAGAATGATATCTCAAGTGTGATATTAAATGTAGGTAGATCGTTCAACAATTGCGATATAGGGCAATATAATGATATCATTCGATTACACATCGATGTCCGATTATTCTAAAAATCATTGAAGACGGATATACAACTGATCGACAAAGTTATCACT